GGGTTGAATCACGGAGATGTTCCATATTCGTCCTCCAGCCCATCCGGGCCCCGCCATCCCGCATGGCCTATGGCACGAGAGGACGCCGGCAGACTTAACGGGCCACCTCCCCCTGCTCCCGTCCAGCACCTCAACCCTGCATCCTCTTCGCACGCACCGGCGGAGAGCGTTGACACATCAGTCCCAGCTGGGCATAGTTGGAACGCCGTGGCAGATTACGAGGCTTCTTTCTGGGTTGCACAAGATGCTCCAGCCTGGGAAACTACTCCAGCTGAGCATGCACTCGAGGGTTCACATGTGCAGGGCTATGCTGTCGATCCATGGGGGGCTGCCGACACGCCCTGGATGGCTGCTGAGAATCAGACACCTGAGCTCCTCCGGCGGGAGGAAGCCCTTCCTTCTGGTTTGCGCCCTCCTCTTGTTTCGCAAGCAGCCCCCTTTCCTTCTCAGGCAGCCTCCGATAATTCTGTGGCATTAGCCGGCGGCCTGACTGAAATCAGAGCGTTCATCTATGCTCCTGACATGGCACCCGAGATGCTCAATGTTTTGGTCTCCCTCCCGTGCAGCGTTGCCACACTGTTGCAGGCTGTCCAGGCTGACAGGAATACTGACCTGAGCTTGCATTTTCCGCAGATCATCCCTGTTACACCGCAGCCTTCGTCGGATGCTCTGGTAGCAATTGCAGCACCGGATTGGCAAATCACTAGGCCCATCGTTTGCTTTGACTGCAGTCGAGTTGGGAAGTCGTTGTTTGCCATCCTGCTGTTTCCTCGACTCAAGCGCGAATCTCTGCTGATTGCCGCAGGCTTCCCAGCTGATGCTGACCTTGAGGTCTATGTGCATGGCCTTTCCAGGCCCTTACTGAATGGCCAGACTATCACCCTCACCGCAGGCATCCTGGTCTCGTTGCTCCCCCCGTTTAGCGGAGCACCTGCTGTTTTCGACCTCCAGACCAAGCTGGAGCTCAGCTCTTCGTGGAATGCTAGAGCGGATATTCCAGGTCCCGGTTGTGTGCCTGGACAATTTTTCTGGGTTCTGACAGATGCTCAGCCAACTCTGTTCGAGGTCAAGGCAGGCAGGCGGGGCTTCTTTCGAGAGGATCTGGCCACACATCTGCACACCGAGGAGCACAGGCTTGTGCTGAAGGCCGCTAGTCCGTCCGTTCAAGACTGCCTCCCTTTCGGTTTTCTCGCTAGCGGGGTGCTTGTGGCCACAGAGGCTATTAGTCGGCTCCCTTGCCCGCCAGCCAAAGCAGCTGATCCCAGGCTCATTGTCTTTATAGACGCCCGACGCATTCTCAAGGGCTTCGATTGGTTCATAGCACATCGGCCATGGTATCCCGTCCAACGGATCGTTGATCGGTTTAGTTTGGACTGCCCGGCTGAATATCTTGTTTCAGTCACAGGGGCCGACGTGGCACATCATGGCAATGAGGTTTGTTTTGTCATCTCTGATGGGCAGGTTCTCCAGGTTACTTATGTGGAGGACATGCTAGAAGAGGAGGTTTCTGCCCCTCCATCAGATAGCCCCAACCAGGACGGACATGACAATACCGGTTCCGGGGACGGCTCCCCTGAAGCTGGCTCAGCCCATGAATCTACTGAGCTTGAGCAGCTCCCTCGGCGCAACCGAAGCCGTTCCCCGCGTGGCGGCTGCCACCCCGCGGGGGGACATGTCGTTGCAGCTCCTCCTGTTGTTTCTCGAGACGCAGGAGGCTTGCGCCTCCTCACACCGCCACCAATGGGCTGTCGAGTAGCCATGTGGTGCCCAGATTACAGTGAAGACGCTCTCCTACAGAGCACTCCGGGCCCCACCTCTGTCCTCCGGCCTTCTGCCTTCTTTGGCGGTCTTGGGTGTTCCCTCTCGCCTTCGTTTGTCTTTGGACATAGGGACCTGAGCTCCTTTGCCCGACAGGGGGTTTTGAGGGTTGCCGCCCTTGATTTTGGAGTATTCGGATATGATCCGAGTCAGGCCAATCATTCTCCAGCTGGGGATAGTTTCCACGGCCACATATTTTCCTTTCGGCTCTTGCAAGAACAAACCCACGCCAGTGTTAGGGCTGTTACTGCGGTTGAAAATGCACAGCTAGCTACCGAGCAGCTGGGCTTCCAATGGCCCCTCCTGCCTCCTGATCCGCAGTTTCCTTTGACTGATGACAGTGATGCTACCCATGTCGACGGTCAGGATGAGCCGTCGCTTGTCGATGCCACTTTTGTCATCCTTGCTCCCGACTACCAGATGGAGGTGCTCGAAGTAGCTTTGTTGCTCCCCCAAGGGGTTGAAACTGCGCTCGAGGTGGTTGATACTTGCAGGCATAGAGATAAGGTTTGGGTATTCCCACAGCTTGTCCCTGTGTGGCCTCAGCCCAGCCTCAAATGGGCTGTTTTGCTCATGACACCAACGTGGCTGCAGCGCGACGCTGTAGTCTGCCTTGACCTGTCCTCCTATGATGGCAGGGTCTTTGCTTCCTGGGTTCCACGCCGTGTTACCCGTGCTTCCCTGTTGGCAGCAGCCGGTCTAAACGCCCATTCAAGCCTTGCCGTGTTTGCACCCG